TAAAAGAAATAAGAGAAGTTTTTACACTAGGACGATTCTATAACGATTTATCGTGTATGCAATAACAAAATATTTTAACAAATCAAATCATATGACGTCATAATCATGGACAAACGATAAAATCGTTGCTACTACGACGGTTTTAATGTTTCCCATGATTATGACGTCATCTGATTTGATTTGTCAAAATATGTTGTTATCGCATATTTCTTTTATTTTTTATATGAACAATTGCTTTTTAGCTTTTTTATCGTTATCGTTATCGTTGAAGTATAAACAGGCCTTAACACTAACATTATTATATATAATCTGGACCGGAGGTTAAACTATAACTAATGACATTAATTTTATTGAATACACAATGTAGCTGAGTTAGCCTAGCACTATAGAACAATATAAAGAAATGACAGCAGCACTTTTAAGACTAATTTGTATAAAATTTATTTCTAGTTCTCGTACACACAGTGGACTTCATCAGGATACTTTGTTAAACACTCAGGATATGTCGTACGTGTGAGATTCGGAAAAAACAAGGCTGTAAACCTATTTTTACTTACTTGTAACAATGGTCGTATTCGACTGGTCGTTCTTTGTTAAACCACGCCCACATTCGCAGTGGTAAAATCCTACTTAACGAAGACGACCAGTCGAATAGATAACTGTAAATACTCGACAAAACAAAATGGCTGCATAGTTACCAGGGGTGGCGCCAGGATTTGCCCGACGGGGGGCCGATGCCCAAACGATGGGTCATTTCCCCGACGAAACCAAAGTGGGCGTGGTCGTGCTTCGATTAAAAGGTTTCGAAAGTGGTCACGTACGCGAAGCCCCCGAAAATGTTGACAATTTAGGGGTTCAAAGGCTTATTTAATCGATTTTATAGTCTACTAATATGTAGAAAATACATATAATTTTTTTTTCTCCCCGACGAATTGAGCTTTTTCTCCCCGACGGGGGGCCCTCCCCCCCCCTGCTGGCGCCACCCCTGATAGTTACCACGATACACGCTGCGTAATCAAGGCTGCTTCGGATTGTGGCAGTATGGGTTTTTTCGTTTGCGAATTCTGTTAGCCTACAATTATTTTTTGACTTCAATATGGGTAAACATTATAATTTTTATTTTCTGACATTTAATCTAAATTATATTAACGCAAATGTTGTTGCTAAACTGACCAATCGACCATATTTTTTTGGTTACGTGCATAACTTGCTGATTAACGCATTCTGATTTCTTTAATTTTCGTTGTCAACGAAGTCTATTTTACGGAACCAGTCGAATGAAAATAATGCTCAACGAAAATTCGTACTCAACGAAATGAACCTGTCGAATAGGCCTATTGACTTCAAACGAACATGATCCTTATTGCATCGAAACAGGCGAATTCTGTTTGAAACGGATATCGAACTATGCGATTATGCTGACTCCTAATGCTGATATTAAACTGGATATGTTCCTAATTCTAAGCTTATTATAACAAAACCAATAATTATACAGAATCCAGTTTAGAGGGTTATTTTCACTCTTTGATTAGTCATTGTTGTTTTGTGTTTTTCCACGATGCTAGCCAAACAGATGTTAAATGAAAATAGTTTGTAACCATCCTGAGGTAACAGACATTTTTTTTATTTTCATTTAATCTGTTCATGATGGCCATATCGATCCAATATTTTGTTCTCATTTAATTGCATTTATTTATTTATTTATTCGAACAAGCAACAAAGTCTGGAGCACCAGTTATTAGAACATATGTAAAACGAAATATATTAAAATTAATAGTGCTTATTTCAGTCTGTTTGGAGTCTGCATTGTATTTTGTTATCGTAATATAATCCACATGGTTTTACCACGACCATATTGTTTGTTTAACAACATGGAATGGATCCGGAGTGCGATAGAATATCCGACAGAAATGCTGTCATATTTTTGCCTAGTTTCGAAATCCAGATTAAAATCAAATTAAACTTTGTAAATTAAAACTAAGGCTTTGTTCAGATTATCCAATTTTCTTTAACAAGAAAAACTGTTCTATGTCCATATATAGTCATGATGTGCCTATATATGGTCATGATGTGATGTCATCATGATCATATTTGCATATCACATGTTTTTGTCACACTTTCTGACAGTGCTCATGATATTTCCAAGAGGTTCTGTACAGCACCGAAAGGCTTGGTTTTGGGCCCTACTGTCTGATCAATCATCAATGCTTCCGCTGGCCGTCTGTACATGTTCTTTGTAGATGGTCATCATGTTATGATATTTGTATTCGACTTCCGTTAATTTTTCTGTACGCCTTTCCCTATAGCTTTCTCCCTGTTACGACATTTATATTGAATTTGCTTTTACTAGTAATAATTTAGGTAATTTGCCTGCAGTGCTTCATGTGTTTTGTTGACGTTTTCAAATCGTGATGTCATCTGCGTTTTGCAAACTCTAGGATTGCCATACGCCTTAGGGTGGGAAATTGATAATCAGTAGCATTAATATTGCTGTTTTGATTACATTCGCAAAGTGGGCTTTGGTCTTGCATGTTTGACCAAGTGACTTGAACTTCTCACACAGGATATCGTGGATATTTATTTTCCCAATCGACCAGCTGTATTTGAAATGAAATGAAAAAAAAAAAAACATGTACACTAATTAAGCCTACATAAAAAGCTCTTATAA